AGGTGCCTTGAAGCATTGTTCGCACCATCAATCTCTGATCTCCAGAGATTTGAGCATTCGTCAGAAGTTGCTCTGCGAGGATCACGTCCGGGATGGCGACGGCACTGTCTAAGCCTTTCAAAGCAATCCACCAGGACCTTCTTCTGGTGATGTAGCTTGACATAGATTCGCCAGATTGGCGACTGAGCATGCCGCCTTCTTTCGACCCGGCACTGTAGAGTTCGCGTGCCTCTTGAGATGCTCTTGGCTTCAGGGTGTCGTTGAACAGCTTCAGGAGTGTCTCAGGGCCTGATTGCTTTGCTAGATCCTCAGGCTTCAGCTGCTGGGCAAGGCGAAGGGCTTGTCCACGAAGTCCTTCAACAAGTCGTATGCCCAAGGGGCCAACTTTCTTCAGCTCGCTCTCTTCCATTCCTTTCTCGCGCAGCATCCTCATCTGGACGCGGAAGGCGTACTCTGGTAGCTGAGCTGGCTCGCCTGAGAAGCGAGGGATCCCGAACTTGCCTTCGGAGTCGAAGGTGTCCTGGCTCGCCGCCAGGGTAGTGCTTTGTGCTCCGTCGTATCGGAGCGTCTCCAGCAAGGCCGACATGGCTAGGAGCGAAAAACGGAACCGGATGCCCTCAAGGGGCTCCGCTGCCAGTGTTGAAACTGGTCTTAAGCGGCCAAAGAACGCGCCTTTTCACAGGCAAGGCTTGAGCCAACCGGAGGTTGGCGGGGTCCGACATGTCTCAACCACAGGTTTCCATGAAACAAAGCTGATCATGACATGAATGCAACTTGGTTTTCACAAATGAGTCTTGAGAAGATGGAATCTCTGCCGAACGTTTGTGGGAGAGTCCGTCAGCTTAGGGTAGCCAGGTACCCAAAGACAACTCGAGGGTCTATGCCAACGCATGGAAACAACCTCCAACACAGTCCAAAATCTACCAGGACCCTCCAAGGGGTGCCCTGTCTGGAAGCCTATAGGTAGTGTGGGGTAGTCCAGCCAGGACACCCCTTTTCAGGAGGGTCCTGGTATGTTCTGTCACAAATGGGGGTCGCTTGACATCTCGGTCCTGTCGCCTGAAAGACTCGAGATCAGGCTATTCTTCTGGACTTCTGGGGTGTGAAGGGGCTGATCTTTGCGATGTCGCAGCTGAATCTGATGTCTTGTGCTTCACTTGTGACCCCAAATAGGTCCTCAATAATATACTCGTAGTCGTCAACTACATAATATGAACGCGATTGCCCAAATTGGTAGAGGAACATAGGGGAACATCGTCTTCCCCATCCACTTCCATGTACACTTAGGTTGTAGTGCACTATTCAAATGACATCCGGGACAAACTCTCGGTCAACGCGATCTATTTCCGACGATTCGATCCGTCTTCGGATGCTGACTCGATCCGTCTTCGGTGCCCATCCATCATCCATCGTCCCCTTTTATCCCATTTGGTGCACCCACACTCACCGTCCCTCACTTCGGAAGATCCACCTGTTTCGCCGTCCGGCACCGAATACCTGGTGACCTGGAAACCACCGCTGCCGAACAGCAACTCCTCCGGCCGTGGACCGACCGTGTAAACCACCATGGTGGCCCGACCGTGTCAAGGGCGCGCCTTCATGAGCTCTCGATCCAATTCTAAGAGCCTCATCTTCTTTTCCTCCGACGCTTCCGCTTCACCGGCAGTCACCGTCGTAACAGACGAAACGACGAAACGAGGTGAACCCGGCTGCGGCCAGTCGTGTTACATCGGTGAAGACCAAAGGAGGCTGAGGCTTCGCACGGTTAAGACCTTCTCGGTGCACACCAGTCTGATGGGTGAGTTGTCAAATGGTTTGATGGGTGGGTGAGCTGTCAGTGCAATGCCATGCTAGGAAGCAAGGCATCGAGCTCAGCGGTTCTAGGTTCTAGACAAGTGTGTGTGTATATAGCGACGGACTGAAACTTAGAATGATAGCCAGGTTTCCAAAATTTTTTAAGAATGATCTTAGAATGCTGAAAAAAGGGCTGTTTTAAGAGCAATTTAGAATGCCGGCTTTTCAACAAAAAAATTGGATACCTGACCCCCATTCTAAGTTTCAGTCCGTCGTTACTTTTTCCTCATACGTATGGGCAAAAGTGGGCTTGGAAATGTGGCAGACACGTGCACAACACATACATGTCTACAACAACCAAATAGCCATGGCCTCAAACAACCATAGCGATGGCCTCCAACAACCATAGCGATGGCCTCCATCCAAGCTAATAGCGACGGCCTATAACCCAATAGCGATGGCCTCCAACGTACTAGCGACGGCCTCAAACCTACTAGCAATGGCCTCCAACAACCATAGCGATGGCCTCCAACAACCATAGCGACAGCGGCCTCCATCCAACCTAATAGCGATGGCCTCCATCCAGCCTAATAGCCACGGCCTCCAACCCAATAGCCAATAGCGATGACCTCCAACCTACTAGCGATGGCCTCCAACAGATGCATACTTGCACACGGCGCTCTTTTTTCTCACCCTTCCCCCAAATGGTATGTCGACTGGTGTCGAATGATATCCAGAAACCGGAGGCTTTTTCCTTTCAGAGATGAAAGCCAACACCTCCAGCTTGGGACCCGAGTTCAAACACATTCTAAATTCCTTTTGTGCAGATGGCATTGCACACTCAACCAACCACGAAACTGGGACAATGGATAAAGAAATAAGAATATCGAAGACTGCATTCCAAGTACTCCAGCTTTGCCTTTCATGCACTCTCTTGCAACTGTGTATTTGTGGCATTTCACACACCTGCACCACATAGATTGTCACATGAATAACATATTATTGTCATCAGCGGGCATGGCATTCTAAGTTGCACCAGCTTTTGTGAAAATACACATCTCGTGTGTTGATACAATCATGTTTGTGTGAAAATACCACCACAATGGCTTTCAAGCCATGAGTTCGTGCAACGTGCACCTGGCAGCTATATACATGCACTAAGTCTCGCACGCAGACCGCACAATCAGCTCCTACCCTAAATATCACTCATGGTAGCTTCAGCATGGCACAATTTCTCATATTGCGCCCTCCACATTCTATCTTTTGGATCTGCAAGATAAAGGCCCACAATCGCTTTGATAGCAGCCAAAAGAGCTTCGCCTGGTGTTCCTGCGCAGGAGGTGAGGTGAGGTCGAGGTATATACATACACACATGTATATATATGTATATCATACACGGAGATGTGGCGGGTTCAAGTGAGGTGAGATGAGGTTTGACCTGGCTTTCTCTTTTCTCAGGCTTCTGGGAATTGGCATTCTAAGTTCGGCGCTACACACCCGAAAATGACACACACACACCATTGGGAAATTTGATTGATGGAAAAGCACATCGGACATTCAGCAAACAGGGTGTACATATGCAGCACATAAGTGTTATATAAGACAAGTCACGTTTCGTCCTGCCAGCAAAGGTGAAGGCTAATCCTGATGATGACCCAGGGTAGTACCCCTCCCATGTGCGCGTCTGGCTGTGGAAGCTGAGGAAAACACCTTTTTTGTGTCTGGGGATTTGGGCTAGGCCCTTGGAATCCAGGTGCTTGTACTCAGGTCTGTGGTCAAAGTTTTTGACCTTCTTAGTCTGCTCTGTGCTCAGAGGTGGCGGTAGCTCTTCATCATCGGAACTGGCTAACACTTCATCAAAGTCTTCCGTCACCATCGCTTCCTCCTCCAAAAGCGCTTGCTCTTCATGAGGATCATGATGGGCTTCCTCAGGGACCTCACCATCCTCCCCTTCAGCCAACTCCCCAGATGCTAGCATGTCCATCACATCCGCTGAAACGCCTTGGTCTAAGCAATCCGGAAGCAAAATCTTTCCTGTCTGCTCCCCACTGAGCATGACTAGCCTCTTGGGAGCACCGGTTCCAGCTCGCAGACACAAATCCTCCGGCTTTGTGCTGAAAGAGACGTGAAGACTGAACATCTCCTGTTGAACTCGCCCCAAGTCAGCATTTGAACGCAGCTTCGTCACCACACACTTTGACACTTTCGAAAAAAGGAACTTCCGGTCACTGTGGTCACAAAAGTCCTTGTATCTGGATGCCTGAGCAGGAGTCAGATCCTTTCCAGAAGCAGCACGGCTGTGAATCAGCTCATTCCACTTGTTCCCCTCTTCCAGAAAGCTGCATAAAGCCTTCTCGATGGGTTTGGAAATCCACTCTGGAAGGCCTTGACGGGTAGAAGTGTCCGCCCCGTCCTGCAGTGCCCAAACGAACACGTTTTCACCAGGAAGCGGTATATCCCTGGCAGCCTGCTTCTCCCTTGCAGCACTGGGCTCAACGCATGTGTCTGGCACTTCTGTCAATCTCACAAGGGAGTCCATGGAACTTCTTGAACGCTTCAAGTGTGCATCTACCGCTCCAAGATTGCCTTGGGACAGTAAATCGAAAAGGAAATGTGTATATATCTATATCTTATATATATATATATATATAGCCAAAGAAACATTAGGCAACAAACAGCCCAAGCACCCCATTAAGTAGAGAGGGTGTCCAAACTAACTCCATGGCAACATTAACCCTGCATTCTAAAGGGATAATTGTGGAGAACAGGCATTCTATGTTATTCTATGTTGTGTATCCAAGGATTAGAGTAGATTGCAAGAGGAGCGCAACACCCAAGCATTCCGAGCCTCCAAACCTCCATGTGGCTATCTCTTCTTTCGTGGAAAGCCCCCGGCTTACCCAGGCAATCCAAATGATTTTCGCATTCCTGAGGCATTTTTGTTCAACGTGAAAAAACTCATAATCAGAAGTGCAAACATGATGACCTGTGCAAGCATGAACAGTTGAGAGTCTCGAACTCGGACAGCGACTTCAAGGCCCATGCATCTGCCCGAATGGAATCGGCGATTGCAAACCTTGGACAGGTCTGAGGGTTCCAGAAACATACATGGTACCTTCAAACTCCTGACTGTTCTATGGGACAGGTCGTCGAGGCATTCTATGTTCTCTATGTATAAATAAATCAATATATAATCCTGGTCCAGGTCACCTAGTTTGTGTGCTGGCCTGCGTAGACATGGACAACTGCTCCAAGGACCTCCGAAGATCAAATGACTTCGACCAGCTCATGGATACTCTGGCATATGCACCTTGCAGACAATGCAAACCCTGATGCCAGCCATCGTTGGGGGCCCCGGCGGCCCCCCAGCCCCCCGGAATGGTGCACTCAGCAGAGTTCCCACAGATTATGGTGACGTTGTTGCGTTCACACCACTTGCTTTTGATCTTCTCAAACTTGGTGGCGCTGTGCTGCGATGCATGATCGCAGAGAATCAGGCAGGAATGGCTCATGTCTAATGCCAATTCTTTCCTCCTGGCTCGAATCTCGCCTTCCAGAAAGTCCAGGTACTCGAGAAAGGTATCCGAACTCCAGATGTGACTCCGGCTCTGGAAAGGAGCTATCCAAATCCAATCCGATAGCTCCTCCAGGTGGGCATTCCAAGTTTCTGTCTGAAGGTTTATATAATTGTGCAATTGTGGTCAATTGTGGATGGAATGGCAATTCTTCGCGGACAAATATAACATATGACAGCAACATAAAGCAACCAGAAAGAACATGAAAGGCAAATGCAAGATGAGCTGACTATTATACCCTACCTCAGACCCTGTTGACCTTGTGGGGGGAGGTTTCTTGATCCGGGATGACGTTCATTGTGCCAGGAGGATTTCATAGGGTCTGGGTCCAGAAAGCTCCTGATTAAGCTGTTCGCGGCACTTGTTTGACATAGCGTCATCTCTGATGGTGATAAATCCTCGGCCGACACACCCATCTCGCCAGGATAACGTTGTCAACGTGTGAGGTACTCTGAACAGGTCCGGTGGTGTGTGTGAGGCACTGCCCCCTTGGAGCCTCGTCAGCCTTTCCTCAGCATGGCTTTTCTGCTCCAAAGTTTCCGTGAACGGACGCTGAAGGGCTCTTTCCATTAGATGTCGCAACTTCCGGTTTGCGGGCTGCCTTGATAATTCATCTCGAACCTCGAATTTGGAAAGGATGCTCTTTTTGGGCCTGTAATTCAAGCACCATACCTGGTCGAAGTTTCCAACCATCCTCGGGTTGTAGCGGCCTTTTGCGATCTGGAATGCAACCCACTCCTTGACATTGCATACTGCTGGATGACTTGCATCCAAGTGCTTGCCTGGCTTTTGATTCAATGTAGGAAAGATGGAGCACTTCCGGCACAGGCGTTGTGCAGCTTTCCTGTTTCAGGCATCTTGAAAAAACACAGCCTTTTGGGCACACATCACTAACAAATAACAGGGGACACATACATAGATAGAATGTGCCCAAGTGCCAACATAGTCTGACATAGTCCGAATTAAAATTAGCAGCAAAATCACAATTATATATATATATATACATAAATGCACTTGAGGATGCTTAGTTATATATATATAGGTATATATACAAGAGACATGAAAGCCAGACTCAGACGAGCTACAGGAAATTTGCATCAGTGGGCTTCAACAGAACAGGCATAAGAGACGCTGCCCTGTTTTCTATCTCGTGCATTGCTTCCTCCAGTGATCCAGCGTCTGCATGCTTATCCAACTGCTGTAGAACAAGCTCTTTGTCCTGCATCTTGTTCTTCAGACCCTCCACGCAGTGGTTCCACTCTTCAATCGCTGCACCTAAGGTGTCTGCAACGTAGTCATAGCCCACTTCCTCTCCAAGGCCAATACGATCAACCTAGCAGCAGCAAAAGCAAGGATAAGGAGCAACTTAGAATGCCTTCTAAATCACATTGCCTCACAGGATAAGACTGGTGATCACAGAAACAGGCTTTTGAAAGGACATCCACATCCTAAATGACCAAGCCGGTGATGAAACTGGTGATGCAGCCCAGAAGCCACCATTGCCCCCACTACATCAGTCAATGCTGGAGGCAAAATACTGGTATGCTGGCACTCACTGCTTGCATGCGCTGGCTTCCTGTTTTTGAACTTGCATTTCAAACCCATGAACTTCCGCAGGATGTCCGGCAACTCAGAATGTTTCTTAGCTAGCCTTGGGCTTGCCGCTGCTACCAAGCTCCAGTTCTCCATCTTTCGCTGCTTCTTCCACTTCCAAATGCAGCACCGATAGTAGCCACGCATATGCTCAACATCTTTGGCAGGTGTTCGGCTTCCGGACTCTACAGCATCATCGTAGGCTTTCATCCTTGGTGCGAGTAGGAGCATTTGTTGACAAAACCGTATGATTATGTGTATAAATACACTTTACGTATGTAGCGGCGGACTGAAACTTTTAATGGGGTTTCGGGTTTCCCAAAAACAACTAACACCTGTCAAAATCAACTGAAGTTGTTGAATCACATTCGACATTCTTGATTCACCTCATATTCTGGATATATAGATGTTTCATGACTGGTGAATTAGTTGACAACTAAGGTCCCGGCAGCTGTTCCTTCTCCCAAATGGTTGCCACTTTCTTCTTGCCCTTGCTCTCCTTCCTCAAGTCCTTTCCGTCGACTTTTCTCTGGTAGGTACGCTTCCTCTTGTAGCCACGCTTCCTCTTGTAGCCATTGAGGATGTTCAGGTGGTCATATTCTGGAGCTTTGCGCTTCTTCAATATTCGCTTTAGCACGCATTGCTTTGAATCTGCATTTGGCGGGCTAGAAGCACACAAACTGCTCCATGCACCTTTGCAACAAACCAATGAACTCAGGAAAACACACTGTGCCACAGTAGCGCTGAAGGAATCCCCTGCCATTTGTTGAGCGAAAGGCCCGTCTTCAAGGAGTTTTTGGTAACCGGTTTCAGAGAAGGCTGAACTCCACAACCCTTGAGCATTCAGGAGATCTTGCTTGTTCAAGTACCTTTCCATCCTCAAGCTGTAGTATGGATGGGTTGGCGTCACGCACGGAACAGAGCCATGCGCAAGCACTTTCCTCCCTCGGCTGGTTGAACAATCAATGTAAATGTCATTGGATACAAAACTTTCATCCAATGCCTTCTGCACCAACTCCTTTTGCAGGGTGTTTGATATCGTCTCTTTGGGCTTTGGAGGAAAGTACCAATCCACTGGAAACCGGAAATTGCTCTTCATCGCATCCATGCAGGCGTTGTAGGTGTCCGAAATTGCCTGTTCACTCTCCTTTCCACTGTTGAGAGACACAATGCCCCATACGCGGTTCCTCCGCTGTGGGAGAACATAGTTCTTGCTGTCATGGATGGCCCAAACCTTGTGATATAGCTTTCAAAATCTGAAAAAATGAAGTCACCAAAGCTTTGAATGTCAAGAACCGCAGCCAAACAGACCGTGATACAACTACTAGGCAGGCATTCTAAGTGTGGCATGCATTCTTGCTGAGCTGCAAAATTGAAGCCCATGGCCTTCATATCTTTGTAAATGACCTGCAAGTAGAACACTCAGGGACATACAAAGCAAAAGGGGCACAATACTCGACGATAGTGCAAACACAATTATTATAATATACTATATATATATATGAAGGATTGAAACACAATAAAGTAAATATATATATATACACAAACACAAGATTACACGAGTGGATGGAGTGGATGGGCCTGCCTGGACTGGAGGCTCTTGCACAAGGCCCTGAGAGTTTTTCACTTTATGCGTTGCTGCTCGCACGTTCTCATACAGACTGATGCGAGGGCATAGCCTCTCAATGACCTGCAGAGATACAGGATCTCTAGGCTTTTTACTATTTCATTGAGCCCCTCCAACTATAGAATATAGCGTTACCCTCCACTGCAAGTGATTCCAACTTCCATTCCCGTGCATATATATATATATATTTGTATATATATATATAAGGCTTCCTTTCGTGACTGAAGAACACTGTCTGGCCTTTTTGTACCCAAATAGGTACGTTGGTCCCGATGTACCATCAGCTGTCCCCTCTGAATCGTTGTAACAGCCAGCAAAAGTAGATCGCGCAGTGTTCAAGGAGCTCAGGTCAGTGCAGCTCGTTCCAGCAACAAACAGATCTACCTCGCAGCTCTGCGGAGAAATAGAATGCATTTTCTGACAAGTGAAGCAATATCCTTCGCCTTTGTCGAAATCTCGGCAATCTTCAAAAAGGTGTTCCATTTGGTGTTCTTCAAGCAAGAACTGTCTCTTGGCTGGATCCTTCTCACAACTGAAGACATGGCGAAGTTTGATGCTTGTTCCCTGCACAGGACGATAGCAGCGCGATTTAAAAATAGCATCCCTGCACACAAAGTCATGCGTTCTCTCTATATATATACATATATAGTGAATATATTTACAGCACAGGATGTGAATTTGCACACAAATATGGATCTAGTGCTACTGATGAGCGCATACTTGAAACCACTTGGAAAAGGGATATGGGCCATGGGCTTAAACATAGAATGCTTCCCCCTAGCAACACAAGTTCCCGAGTTTTTAAAGCTTGATCCAACAGCGATTGGCCTGAGACATGTTCAAGAAGTCAATTGTCTTGCCAATCACTGGGACAATAATGTCACTGCCACTGCACGTAGTCCCTATGCGTATTTCCTGTTGGTCTAGAAGATGCACTGTGTCTGCGAGATCTTTCCGCATGGTTTCTGACATTTGGGAAACAAAGAACTTTGCCGTTTGAGTGAAGCACATTGCAGTTGGAGCCATGTCAGAATGATTGCTTTCAAAAAGCTGTTTCTTTGTGCAGGTAAATGTACGGTTCCTGAACCTTGGAGCAACATCCAGGAACCGTAGCACATGTGGCGGATCCAGAAGCAACATCTCCTCGAAATGCCATTGGTAAACAACCTTGCTCCTTTTCATCCTCTCCAAGTCCCCTTTGGTGTACAAGCCGCTTGGCAAGGACACTGTCCGCAAGTTCTGAACACGTGTGCAAGACCCTACCTTCAATATCGCAACTGCAGAATGCCCTTCATCCCCCAAACATAAAGCAACAAATCTGTCGACGTTGGATTGAAATGGGCGCAGGATGACTGTAGTCTGTGAACTTCTCAACTTGCACCACTCCTGGGTGTTCAAAAGCATGCAAGTAACCGACTCATCATCACCAAGCTCTAAGATGGATTTCACAATCTCCTGTTCCTCATCATCGGAACGGCTGGGTGTGATGCCTTCGTGGACACTGCGGCTGCGCTTGATGAAGGTAGAGGCAGAGGTCTCTGTCTGAACAGTCTCCGCTTCCTCAAAACTGCGTTTGATGGGTGGCGTCTGGATGATGGTCTCACCTGAAAAGGAGCCACTGGAAGTCGTCATTGCATTGTCTCCTAGGGGTGTGTCGTGGAACACTGCATTCTAAGTTACACATTCACATAGGTACATAGCCACTATATAGGCAAAAATGCACTGGTGTAACGCAAGAGGCAGACGTGCATGTATACATATACATATACATATATATAGATGGATGGATGGATAAATAGATAGATTGACTGACAAGGACAAACAATTCGTCATTGTATGCACCTCTCCTGAAGGTTGACAGCTGAAATAGACCCAAACTTGACCCCTTGTATAGTCGAGCGCAGGCCGGTCAGCAAAGATGTGGACTAGACTAAACTGCCACCCGAAAAATGCTTGGTTGCCTCCCCCATCGATGCTTTCCAAAGCTGTTTGGGAGACACAGTGCAAGGCAAAGTACTTTGGAATACTTGCTCTTGAAATAGGAATGCAGTGCTCGAACTCAAGAATAGCAAGAACTTTCCTGGCTTTTCCACTGGCGCTTGCACAGGACACCAAGCATATCCTGTCTCCGCATTTGAGGAAGTTGAGTGGCTTGGACCGTAGCTCCATGGTTTTGCGCTCTGACTCCGGACCCTCAACAAATTTCTTTGCCCAGTTCTCGTGGACAAGCAAACCACAGAAGCGACCTTCTCGAGTATGAACAGAATGATTCAGCAGCTCGCTCTCGATGTTTGCTACAGTAGCCTGTCTCAGGGATACAGTATATCAGGACAAAAATAATATATACTGTAAATGGTTGGCACTCTAAGCAATATGCTCCGACCAAAGTTTTGAGACAGATCTCTAAATGAAGAGGGTCCTCAATTTCTGCAGATTCTGGAACTTCTGCCGGGGCCTCCTGGCATTTCCATTTGTGAACAAGGCACCCGCCGCCATCTTCAAATCAATTCTATATATGTATGTGTATAAAAATATGTATATATAGCGACTATATATACCCATACTCCCGGCATTCTAAGTGAAAGCTCACAAATAAA